ATAATCTCCAGAACACAAATCATAAACGTTATAAAGTAAACAGGAATCACTAGTGGAGAGGAGGTCAACCAGTTGGCTATATTACAACCATGGCTGAAAACCTGAATCTGAACTAATGCACACATGTCCAGGACTGGCCTATAGCGTCCCCTGTCCTCATGAGACAGTCCCAAAATCTCCAGTATACCAGTGCCTACACCATAGTTCACCAGTGTCTCTCCCTTCCACAAGTCCCCTCGGGGACTGTCCAGGGGCGGATCTAGCATTTTTACTGACTAGTTTCCAACTCGAAAAATGTTGTATTGACATATGCTAATCAATTAAAACATGAATATTCATTACGTCGGTCCAAATAATTTAACTGCCTGCAAAATGATACGATTCTAATAAACTGATTTAAAAAGCTGATTCAGCCAATTTTTAAACATAACCTAACTTAAGTTACACAGAGAAGACAATGCGCGGTAGATTACACTAGCGACCTGCAGTAGCTACCGAATTCCAGGAATTGTATTTCGAGTTTACTGTAAATTATCAATTCTTAACTGTGTATAATGTGTAACTTATTTGGTTCAAGTGTTTTCATTGTTTTAAATCACCTTGCCATTAATTTCAATACATACCAAGCACGAAGAATGTTCACATGAAGTCAAATCAGTCGGCGATTCCAATGTATGGGAACAGTTGGACGGTTTCACGAGTGGCTTGACCACATTCCGACACAAAAATAACAGATTCAAACAGTTTTGGAAGCAATTGTGGACTCAATCCTTTTTCGATTTGCTTAGAATTGTTATAGGTAATTATTTCAAACAATTTCCCTCAAAATCCGTTGCTAACTGAATGACACAGATACTGACATAAAAACTTACCATGGTAGGATAGTTACTGGATTCGACTTGTTTCTGACAAGTTTCTGGTAAGCTCCTACTCCTCCATTGTACAAATCAAAGCTCGATTCTGATTGGCTAACATCAGTATTCAGGATTCCTGTGTGAACAGCTTTGATCGCGGAAACTAGWCGGGATACCTTYGTGAATCRCTRATGACGTCAAAAGAAACCAGTTCACTCACCTCGCGATAGTCCGCTGTCACACAGCCACACAGATTCTGGGCTCATTCTTTGGCAAAAAGTTTCGATGGGTCCCCTCCCACAAGACAAAAACAGCTAATATTCCAGTTATTAAATGTGGGTTTCATGTGGTAAGATTCTCAAAATGGCGGCTAGAACGATCGTATTGCAAGCTAAACTGTAAAATACTCCCTAATTCTTTGCCGTTTGTGTAATTTTATTTGAAATGTCCCCTATTTTTATTATATTTTTTGCGAAAATATCTCACTAGTTTCCGGAAACTAGGTGAACCAGTCTAAATCCGCCCCTGCTGTCTAGGGGACTAGTGTCTCTCCCATCCCCAAGTACCCATGGTGACTGTCTAGGGACATCCCCTAACCCCAAGTCCCCTCGGGGACTGTCTAGGGACATACCCTAAGTGTCCCCTGTCCTCTGGACTACAACTTAACTAATCGAAAACGGAGCTTCGATCGCCAGCAAGACTAAACCTCTGACCACTTGGCCATGCTGCTTACTAGCTATGATGTATCGACGATGTTTCCATGACTGTTTTCCGACAAAAACTAGTTCTTTAGTTTGAATAGAGAAGTAATGTGCTTAAATCGCTGTTAATAAGTTAAAGCAAGCTCAAATCAGGGGCGGATCCGGGATTTTCTTCAGGGAGGGGTGCGGGTCTCTCAGGAGGGAGGGGGGGGGGGGTTGCAACTCGTAAAAATCATTACCATGAGGATGCAAATTAATAGACCTCTTGCAGTTCGTGGGAATGGAATTTTAACTGGATGACAAATGAATAGATTCTAGTTCCCAAGAGGGCAAAGATATTTTATATATATTCTGCTTTGACGTCACATGCAAGATCTCAGGAGGGGGTGCACCCCACAAAATCATTACCATGAAGATGCAAATTAATAAGGAAAGTATTGGAGGATACAGATCTCAGGAGGGGGTGCACTCACTCCCTGGATCCGCCACTGTCAAATCAATGGACTCAAAAGCGGATGTGATTCATAAAAACTCCCGTTCTTCCTCTTCCTCTTTATTCTGGAAGTCGAAACGACCAAACTTACTATTTCTGTTATTATCTTATTATATTTAGTACTTACCTGACGACTGTAGGGAAGAGTTCGCACGTATAGACGTAWATGGTGTCAAAAGCAAATGTAATAAAAAACTTGGCTACCATCGACATGATGACGGTACCGATACGAAACCCTGAAAAAAGATTTATAATTTAGAATCGATCGGCTGATTGGAGTGGTAGACAATTCATATTGCTGATAAGCGCGGCTTGGCTCATTGCAATTCTTGGAAAATTTCCTGACTTCGTCGTGGTAATCTTTTTGTGTGTGTGTGTTTTGTTTTAATTTATTTATTCACAAATTTATTTGATTGCATTGTTTTCTATTCGTTTCTTCTTTTTCTGTTTCTTCTTTTTTGTTGTTGCTTGTGCTTTTTTTGGCTTGATAGTTACTAATTAGAATTTCTAGAAATTTTATTACGTCGATAATAAGTTAAGGCATACCTTCGTCTGAGACTCTTGTCATGAGTAGTACCGCAACGGTGGACGCTATGGATGCCATGATCAAACTACCCAATGCGCTCTTCCTTCTTCCAAACCTATCAATAATATAAATATTTTAAAACAAGATATAGGCCGTCGGGTTGATTGATTGTAAGCGACATTAGATATGACTAACATAATAGTATGCATTTACACACATTTAATATTATATTTAGAAGTAATGTGACTCTCATAAAGCCGTCCCGCTTGTAATAGTGCTCAATACGGATGTAGAGCGGAATGTGTGTTAAGATAATGGGACTCGGTTACTCCGAGTTATATTGTTATATTGATTTAAAGTATTATTTTTCTCCGTCTGTACACTCCTTGTTTTTATTTTATTTGTAATCATAGTAGACCGTCTTGCTACAGTGTAGCGATTGATTAAACGAATTAAAAAATAAAGGTCGATCATTCAAACTCGAATACGCTCAAGCTGATGTCCAACATATTGAGCATCTATGTTTAATTGTTTTGATATGCATCTACTGTTCATTCCGTTGATTACTCAACCAATTACCTATTCATTGCTTTAATGGTAAGGTAGATTGAAGGGATCTCGACGATGGCAGTTAAAAAGAACGCGAGATAAATGTTTCCACCAAAAGCGTCAAAGCTGAATAATGCACCCCAGTACACCACCGATACAGCTAACCTAAAAAGCAAAAACCTCAAAATAAAATACCTTTTATAGGGAAAATTTAGTTAAAGTCGTATGCAAATCATGACGATTCTCTTGCTCATATAAAGATTCGGTCACGGTAGCGCCAATGATTTTCCAATGTGCTTACCTATGAATTATTATTATAAAATCAAATAAAATGGCCAGCATAAAAAAGAAAAGGAAAAAAGAAGAAAGAAAGAAAAACCCTGCAAGAAATAAGCAAGGACAATTCATTATCCCTGGACATTAGTTAGTTTACCAATTAAACCAGCTGATGAGGGTGAGACGAGTCATCTTCCAGGAACGAAACAAATCTCGCACATCTCCAACACGCTGTTTTTCCTCCACTAGTGAAATGGGGTTTGGTGGTAGTTCTTTTCGGTTTGTACGTGCAATTTTAGCAAAAATTTCTTTGCTTATTTCATGTTTGGCATTCGTTATTAGCCATCTTGATGACTCAGGAATGAACCTGGTAACAATAACATGATGGCAATAGTATAAATAAGGATAGAGGAGGACCTCTCTCTCTTTCTCCCTTTCTCTTTATTCATCACATCAAAAAATTGTATGTCATTTGTGCGGGATCCCTGTGTTTTTTAGTGTTGGGCTTCCTTTAGTGAATCCAAGCCATATATAAAAACAAACAAAATGGCCGATTGTCGATAAGTGTTTTTGCTATAATATCTGCAAGTTTCAGATAATTTCATGCTTTATTTGACGACAAAATCGCCAAAAACCATTCCTATCGTACTTCCAAAGGTATACAACTACCATATATGGCTGCTAAAGGAAAGGCAACTTTTCTGTGGCAATTCTTTGATATGTCACTTTTTTATCGCTAGCATAGGATTTGAAAGCTGTTGTGATTTAAAGCGTATGACGTAAAACCTATTACCGTATGCGTATTGGATGAGAATCTAATCTATTTTTTTAGGTAACCTAATTGTGTATTACGTTCTTTAGAGTGTTAGCTTTCATAGTGCTGTCTGGCAAAGCGCTAATTAGCACAGTGTAAACACTGACTTCAACCTCTACTATTCGTCTATACTATTGATATTTTAATATGATAATCTTCGAATACAGAGATAATGTTGACGATGAGGAAAAAAAAACGGGCGAGGTAAAATAGGACGAAAGATAATCCGAATAATCTCATTGTGATTGATATTCAATCGAAAATGGACAAACAAGATGAAATCAAAACGCTACATTACTCAGCTCTAATTCAGTTTTGCCCGATGATGATTTAATACTGTAATTAAATCGACATTGTTTGATGTCATATTGTCCTTCCATTTTCGATTGAATATCAATCATAATGAGATTGATCAGATTATCTTTCGTCCTGTGGCTGATTCAACAGTGAAATGGTCGTCGTCGTAATTTGATTTGTTTTTAAAGAAATATAGCTATAATGTTGGGAAATCTGTAATATATAGCAAATATAGGGGAGTACACCCCCCGCACCACCCCTGGTGAGTCAGAATCAAGATGAGAAATTGCTTATGCTTTAAACTCGTATATATACTACTCAAAAATTTCGAAAAAAGTTGCTTGAGGAGTGATACACTGGACTATGGCAATGGATATTGCAGCGATGCCTTGAGAAAATTATATTTGAGTTCATCTACTTCATGCACAACCATGCATAACAAAAACGTTGCGAAACAACTCCTTTTGCTCTATGAAATTCTGCAGCAGCATTTGACTGAGAAAATTGCAGTGTAAAATGTTCTTTTAAAAAGGCTTTAGCTCAATTACAACTAAAATTGCAGAAATGTAAAATGTTAATTTTCTTTTAATAGGCTATACGTACCACCAAAGAAACACTTGTAATAAAGCAGGCGCTGAGGCTGCGATTGAGAGGTATCTCCAGTTTCGTATGAAGTATGCCAACAGAAATAATGGCATAAGTGCTATTGTAAAGAAATACCACAGACTGGTGCCAGCCATTGCCCGATGTCTGACGCCTACGTATTCCACCATCAAAACGAATATAGCAATGGATGAACTGCCTGTTAAAAAGTGGATAATTTTTCAATAATCGATGGGTCTTAACGATGCAAAACTCGAGAAGCATTTTAATGATCGTAATCTACTGTCAAATGCAGAAACATGAGAAAGAATGATGGAAAAAAAAACAAGGCAGAGCCTTGAGAGAGAGCACACCAGTTATGAAATATATACTGAATTTCGATTTCAATTTTAATTTTTCCTTTCTATAGAAGGAAATGAAATTAAGGGCGACTTAATACACTTTTAAGCGTGGATTTCACTAGCGCATAAGCATAGCATAAGCACAAGCATGAGAATCATATGCGCCAGTGAGAACAGGCTCTACATAAGCATAAGACATCGAGCATGCGCACGAGCATATTATTTCGGTACCAAGCTATGCTTATGCCTATGTAGTCCCGTTCTCACTGAGCATAAGCATGAGATAAGCATGAGATAAGTACAAGAAGATCAAGCCTTGCTCGTTTTTCTTGTGCTCATGCTTATGCTTATTTTGAGCCCGTTCTCACTGGCGCATATGACTCTCGTGCTTCGTGCTTATGCTTATGCTTATGCGCTAGTGAAATCCACGCTTTATACATGCATTAGATGAGAAGCATTTAATTCCTTTAGGAGTTATGATTTAGTGATTCGAGTCCAACTTTTAAGATTCCGGCGCATTGTTATCCGAAAGTACTGATGTATCCAAAGCGTAGTACGATTTACCTTAGTATTGTGTCATATCTTTTCTAACTTACCAAGGCAAACACCAACAAGTGCTCTAAGTACAATATTAAACAGCCAGAACACCTCTGCGAAGGAGGCTATCAAGGCGAATAAGCTGCAGAGCACGGAAGGGAAGTACACGATTGGTTTACGTCCAAACTTGTCAGACAACACGCCACCAAATAACACACCAATCATGAAGCCAGCAAACACAATACTTTTGGACATACTGGACAAACTTGTACGATCACAAACCAGATCCCACTGAAATTTATAGAAACATAATCAAAAGGCACTTCAAAGGGATGGAAATATTATTAATCTAGGATTGCAGTGTGTTGAGGGCATTCTGCGCGAGAACAGGAACAAAATACATATCTTATACTTTTTTTACGGTGTTAAACTTATCTTCTTTACACAACTAATGGGGTTTCTTGCCTTTTCTACTATATCCTTCATTGCGTTTGAAGGTGAATTATTATTGATTAGGACTTGATGTAGTTGGGATTTATAATTTTTATTTATTAAAAAAAATTTAGGCGAATTCACTTAATGCCCATTTGCAATCTCTTTCCATCCGTCTTTTTTATTGTCAATTAAAATACTCCTTTTTCCTGTTCAAAGCGAGCGACCGCTGTTTTAGTTGACAACAGTCTCTCATGCGCAGAGAACTTACCAAAAACAAAAGAAAGCACGAAAAAAATGTTTTCATTACAATAGCCGTATAAATTTGCATTTTCTCCAATTCTGTATTTCCATCACGTTCAAACTCTTTCTCAAGCTAGGCCTTTTAAAAATCGGAGAAGATTCAAATTTCTAGAGCTATTTTAATGTCAACATTTTTTCGTACTTTCTTTTGTTCTCTATGCGAGTGAGTCTGTTGTGTATTAAAACAACGGTCGATCGCATTGAACTGAAAAAAGACTTATTTCTACATACTCTATAACAAAGAAACTAGTAACTCTCATAATGATCGACACTAATTAGCATGTTATCTCTCAATTCAAAATGTTGACAAAAGAAAACACTCCAATGACAGATATCAAAGCCAAAAATAAACTCTGAAAGTTTCAAAGAAAAATACTAAATCCTCTTGAAGCTATAAGTGTTAGAAGAGGTACGTAAACGCCAAAACGAGGCTACCCAGTCACCATGCAAAGAACGCCAAATCCCTGTATTTCTATTCCTCACATAACTTTGTTAGCATTTAGTTTATAGCTTCAAAACTTTCCATGAGAACCTATTTCTACTAGTTCTTCCATATGACAGTGTTGAATGTTTCCGTAATGTTATAATATGTATAAAATCGATAATGTGCACTATGAAAAGTGTTCTCTTGTATCGAGTGGGTGGATTAAACTTTTCGGATCAAATATATAACCCTGCTTTATGATTTCCAAGACTTCTCAAAGCAAATTTTCTTAGTAAAGTCAACCATACTTGGACCGAAGCCGTTTGATACCAGTGTGTCCTACTACGCGTGTGTGTTGACTGATTCAGTATAAGGAGGTTCCATTTTTTTCGGGCTGTTATCGACGTCATGAATGCATGAAGTGGGACTGGGTGTCTGTGGACGAGATTGAGCTACTGTAAAAACCCGGCATATTACCTTAATTTAAGAACATGACACAATCTTACACCCTTTTTCCCACTGCAAGGTTGCGACACACGTTTCTTCCCTCAACCTTATTGTCGATTTTGTAGCAATTCATTGACGAACAACATTGTAAAAGGGGAGTTGAGGCTGTGCGTGCTTCATACAATATTGTGAAAGACTGCATTTTGATTTTTGATTTTGACCTTTTTACACAAAATCATTTTAGCCTGAAGTTTCTATGTTCTTAATACCAAACAGTTTCCATTTAAAAGTACTATTAGAAGCAAAAGAGGTAGCGGAATCGTGTTTCCTTCGCTTTTTCGGCGAACAAGCCATCATGGAGTGTGAATTTCGTAAATGCGATATGCGGGCTTTTCCATGCACACATTTGAAGACCATGTGGCACGTTCGAACCTGTGAATGGTTGAAGAAAAACAAAGACTGAACTAATTTCGTAGACATGACCTCCCTGGCACGTTGGATTTTTGCRTGCTTTTGTACAGTACTTTCTCAGACACAGTGGCAAAATGGCGGTTTTGACACGGGTTTTACTTGCCTCAGGAGAGCTCATAGCTCAAGAAAATCAACTGGCTCGGTGAAACCAGCATTTCTGCAGTGGCAAGTTATTAGTTGACAGCTGTACAAAGGCACATTGCGTTAGGAGTCGAACTTCGACGAAAAAATCGACCAAATTTAGAGCTGTTCGAAGTGGATATGGAGGGCATCGATTCCTACCCTGTCACAGATTCCAGGTGATCTCGAGAAATATGATTAGCCAATCAGATTGCGAATTAGGTTTTAAGAAAAGAATCAATCCCATCTAGTATTTCGCGCTTCGATTAACAACAATCCAATATGGCGGACGCGAAGAGTAGACGGGGAGAAAAGACTTATTGGGGATTTATTCGACTTATAGAAATAATATAATGCTTTTAAAAGAACTTTGAAATGCATCAATGATACCTCAATTTTACTGTTCGTGATATTTTGAGGAATTTAAGCGCTCTTCCAAAAGACGACGGAAAATACGCTCAATGGATGAAAACATTTTGACCACAAATTGAACATCCTCTCKGCTGCGTGGATCCTTTGCAACGTCTAACACAGCCATCTGAGCAGCTCTGACAAGGATGGGATCTTTAAGGATCGGCATCCGTTCATGTGGTGGTTCTCTGTGGAATGGAACGAAGTTGGGATAGCAATCTTTCAAGGAATCTCTGATGGCACGTTCAAGGACTTGTATACGGCACAACGTAACTTGGATATCTTTGTCCAGCATCTGGTGCGAACAAATGGCAATTCTTTGGTGACATGGATGACATTTAGAAGATGCAATTGTATACTTGGTACTAAATTGCCATTTCTTGTCTCCAGTGTTCTTGGCTTCAAAATATGGTGGTTGATAAACGTCCACAACAATTGAAGTTTTTGAAACTGCCATCCCCATCACATGATTAAAATGACTACGGATTCTTTGGCGTTCTTTCGACTGAGGCAATTGATGCTCGATGATTATTTCGTATCTTGATGGATTTAAGTGAAGTTTACAGTTTAGATATTCCTTTGATACCCTCTGATCTGTTCTTTCAAAAMTCACTTTCTCGTTTATGGAACATCTGTCCACATGAAAGGAAATGGTCSCTGTCTTGTGAGCTATTTTCTTGGCATATTCGTTTGCCGAGGCTYTAGTGATGTAKTTAATRTCTTCATTGGAATAAGACATGTTTACTGACTCAAGAATTTGTTGTTTAAGCTGACTACTGTCTAAGYTTTGTAGCTTGACTTTCTGACTGGAAATCGCTTGGATATCTTCAACACTTAGGTAAGTATTATGTTCTATCTCCTGAAAAGTAAAATTGATTTTTTTATTACATTTTAGAATATAACCCTGACCCCTGTATTAAAAACAACTTTTCTTGATGTTTCAAACTTTCTTTGCCAGTTTTTTATATATAAAAATAAGAAATACCTTTGATTTGAGGCCATTTGAGAAAAGCTTATCTAAATTTATACAATCCTTCATGTTTATAAGTAACGTATTGCAATTAAGTAGAAATTGATGTTTCTGTTTCCCTTACACAAGTGTCCATTTCATCTTGAAGATTACATGTGCTTGCGGTGTCTGTATAATCTGTTCCAGGCAATGATTCCTGTACCAAAACAAAAAGTTGAAACTTTTTGAATTAATAATAGAAGATCTCAGAACATGTAATACATTTTAATGCACTTTAAGAGTCATTTTTAAATTACAGCAAATTATTGTTGTACCTGATCATTTGCATTGTTAATTGTGGTTGAAGAAAATCTACAACTTGTGGCAGAGAATGATTCCTGCAAGAAAACCNAACAACAACAACTGAACAGTTGTACTAACAGTTGTACCTGATTATGTACATTATTAATTGTGCTAGAAGGATAAGTACTATTTGTCCCAGAGGATGATTCCTGCAAGAAAGTTAAGGAGTAGAGTTAACGTACTGAATCCTTAAACAAATTGTACTAATTACTACTAGATATCGTTGCTTACACAAAGGGATTAGCATAGTTTAGTACTATTTTGCACTAATTCAAGCTGCATGGATTAAGTATTTTCACTCTACCTGATTATTGCAGTACTACTTATGCTAGAAGAATACAAACAATGTATGTAATATTTGTCCCAGAGGATGATAACAACATTCTTTAACGAGAGTGTGTTCTTTATTTTCCTAAGTAAAGCAAACTACATTACTCATATTTCAAGTCCATAGATAGAAGGTGCAAGTGTTTAGGTTGTAAGTTTAATATTTTACTTCTATTGTTTGGTCCATTTGTATGCATAGGTAAAGGTCCCCATAAAAGCCCTAAAAAGCCCCTAATTATCTACATGAATGGGGCCGTATTTGTAYCTTATTCTCTGCATTCCTTAAAGATTCTAACTTTGAAATTTTGAAATCTTGAAATGGGATTTGCTGTTTTGAAGAATTCAAATCTCAAGTTGAGTTTCATAGAGAACACAGTTATAATGTTTTGGTGTGCTCTGATCTTGAACATTATATTTAATTACAGTAAATAGAAGCAATACTTAGTAACAAACTTTAACTCCATTGTTTTGATTATGTGAAAATAATTTTATTTGATTTCTCTGAGTAGTAATTGCTAGGAGTTGTTTCATGGGTATATGAAACTTACTTTTATGGTATCGTAAACAAACCTACCATTTTCTTTTTCAGGTGATGTGCATGGTCATCTTCAGAGAAAGTAGACAGATGCCGTTTCCGGGATACCTTAGATACTGTTGGCTTCATGCATATACTACTGTTTTCTCTTTCGCTCATGCGGTAGAGCTCATTGTTGAACAACTGAAAGAATTAATTTCTGATATTCTACTGGGTTAGTTGCTCCATGTCTTCCTCCACTATAAAGAAAAGTACCCGCCTTAGCATATTTGTRTGCAGTTTCCATTGTTCCATCTGAGAAATTGCTGAAACTTAGTGGGAGGCCAACCAGTTGCCCATCACTTCTTGCTTTGTCGATGTAGTGAGATGTATATGCCACAATTTGCTTTATTGAGGGTGTGACACAACCTGAACCAAAGATTAGAACAAATTGGAAACCAATTTGAATTCACCAAGGTGAATTCGTGCAAGGCATTCAAACTGACGTCCTGTGAGAGTGGGAGGAGTAT